AAGTTTGGCTCAACCTTAAGTTTATTAAGCGATGAGAATACATTTTGTGCGCAAATACACAAAAAGAATGACTTATTCATTTTCTTCTGTATGAGCCTCTTAGGTTCTTTCTCTTTATTTTACCTATATACTTTATTGTCTGTATAGAGTTATGCTATAAGCAAATAAAGCTGCAGGCCTAAAGGTTTCCATAATGTTTCCAAAAATGGAAAAGTAACAGAATTATATTCATGTATTCACAGTGTGTATTTCCATGCTTCTCATTCCACAAACTGCACCAGATCTTCCTCCACTGACACGGTTTTGCTGGATGATCATGGGCCGGTCTGTGGTTTATTTCTCAGGCCACGGCCGCCTAAAATAGAGCTTTCTGCACTCCCACTCCCAGAGTGAGCCCATAATTCCCACCCGTCCCACTGACTTACCCAAACACAGGGTTCAAATCATCTCCGGCTTACTGATTTACTGCTTATACTTTGTGTGTCTTGTTTTGTTAAACACATTTTACTCTTTTATTTGGAACTGAATGTTTTGACAAAATCGGATCGGCTTGACTATAATTAGTTCATGTACATTTCTTATGCTACACATCTCATCTAATTATATATATATATATATTACAAATAGAAATAAATTAGATAATTATTTTTACTATACTATTTTTTACTATAAATTATTCCAGAGATCTCCATTGTGGTGTTTGTTTCTTATATGGTTCTTTCTCCAGTTCTTTTTAACAAAAAACAACAACGTTGTTTTTTTACAACGTTGATTTTTACATCTGGAAGACGTATTTTTAAAGGGTTGACTGCTATTTTTCTTTGCATGATTGTGTTTGTGGGGTGCAATATAACATGTATTTGTGTTTTTTTCTTTTTTAAAAGTCTTATTTTTCATAAACTTCACCTTTATTGTCAGCCGCGCTCTCCTCTGTCCTCGAACGACTGGTTGACTTCCTGATTCTATGAAAACTACTCCCTCAGAAACACGCAGTGGGCTCAGATTGGTTAGTTTGGCCCGATGTGTTGTGATTGGCTAAACTGTTGCTCACGTTGTCCAGAAGGTTAACGCCCATTACCTTTACGGGCGAAACGTGCATGTGCTCCAGTCCATTCATATCGATACTACAGTATCAGTTTGAGGCAGAATCAGACCGAGAAAGCGGCGATAAAGAGTCCAGCAGTCTCTTAATAAACGCTTCTGAATGATAATTTGCTACATTTTTTTAACTTTATACACGTTTGTTTTGCACAATAGCATCTGACTGGCAACAATAGCAACTGACTGGCTACTAATGTTATACTCAAACAGCGTTGGCATTAGTTTACGTACTTGATCAAATCGAAAATAATGTCATAAAGCATATATACATGAAAAATACGTTTAAAACATTAGTACTTATACAAAATTCAGGTCCATAATGTTTGTACGCGTTTGTCGTAGACACAAAATAGCATAACTTGTAGCCTAGTGGCTATAAAGCCAGCGCTGGCATTTGAAAAAACTAAAACACAAGGCTACGTCTGGAATTATACATGCAAATACATTTAAAATGATTAGGTCTTAGCGTACTTACAGGTTGTGGCCCAATAACTGCTGTCTCTGGCTTTAAAGTTGGAACTGCTTCATGTTTTAGTAACAGTTTCTTGTTGAATCCGGTGTTGGAGATTCTGGAAGCTGTCTTCCGTAAAATGCGCAGCACAGAGAGCTAGATTATGATCGTCATTTTCAGGAATATAATCAAACATAAATTGTATCCATTGTTGACGAAGTACAGCGTCCGTGGGAAGCCCGAACACAGAAGACCTGACAGCTGGGTGAACAACACACTCGACGTGCTGGAGCTGCAGAAATATGCGCATGCCCTTTTCTGCATATTCCGGAGGGAGGGGTTGATGCAAATGTGTGGGTTAGTGACGTCTAAAACCCAGCTGTAGTTCCAATCGAGTCGTTTTTGTAGGCAATATACTTCCTGATTTTTAAAAGACGATATCTCTGCTTACACTGAACTTTCAGCGCTGCAAACTTTGCGGATACTGTTCATGCACCAACAGCAACATTACACACTATTTAAAATGAAAAAAGTGAAATCGCTATCAACCCCCCCTTTAAGAGTGTTTGCTCATCGGTAATACGTCTACAGGACGTTTCCTGTCAGATGTCAAATAGACGTTTATAAGATGTCAGTTTAACGTGCATTCTAAATCATTACATCTTAGAGACATCTTCTAAACGTCTATTCGACATCTGACAGGAAACGTCCAATAGACATATTGCAGATGAGAAAACACTCTTAAAAATACGTTTTCCAGATGTAAATAGCACATCAAATAGACACTTGTGCTATCTGGGCATATGCGTGTTGCCACCACAGAAACTAACTCGCGAGTTTATATCTCGCAATTCAGACTTTTTCCCCTTAGAATTTGAGACTTTTTTCCTCAAACTTGCAATTGTGAATCACACACTCTTGAATTGCGAGATGTAAATGCACGATTGCGACAAAGTCTGAATTACGAAATAAAAATGACCTCTTTTTTTTTCCGTGATGAAAATAAGTTGGAGTTTCCATTTAAACCAACATGGTTTGGTTAAGAAAAAAGTATCAAACAAATGCTTGACTCTATTGTCCTCGTAGTGAAGTTTACCCTTTCTACAGTGGCTTTGTTTTCGAGGGACAGGAAAGAGTTAACAATCATGGGCGCCAAAATAATGAGTCAAGGGGTGTGTGGTCTCAGGGGAATTCTGCTTATCATGGGTGAAGGAAAGGAACTGCAGGAAATGGAGGGAAGTGGATCGGGGAAACACGTCTTCTTTCTGTGCGTGTAAGCACTAATGTTTGCCGTGGTTTTCAGAAAGTGTGGGATATTAAGTTAGAGTGTGTGTGTGTGTGTGTGTTTTTGTAGCTGGAGGAAGCAAAGTGAGTGGGGGGTCAACATGTGTAATTAAATAAAGTGTTATATATTTGGGAGATTTGAGAAGAATGTTGTGGGAGAGACCCGTTTCTGTTTGTGAAGGCTGGCAGAGACACATTGAGAGAAAAAGACAAGTACTTACACTTGTGTGTGAGGCTTTGAAGCATAGCCTACTCTGACTAAGGCTTTTATGAAAAATGAAACACTGATATGTTCCTCGTGATGAGAAAGATATCGACTCCCCCAGGCTGTAAGTGTGATGCTAGTCAGCTGTGTTGCTGATAAACTGAACCGTAACATTTGATGCAAACAGCTGCTTTGTTCAGAATGCAACACTAGCATACTGTAGATTACAAAGTATATGCAGTGTATTAAAAAAAAAGTATATAACGGTATGCAGTGTCAAAATAAACATTACCAAAAGCGATATGTAGTGGCTAACGATATGGATTTTTCAATTGACAATATGGAGAAATTATGTATAGATGCCGGTTTCCACCTAAAATAAAAATTGCAACTTTATATGTCCCAATTGCAACGTTTCTTTTTTTATTATTGCGACTTTATATCTGTCAATTAAAAATGTAGCTCTCCAAATTGTGACTTCTTTCTCATAATTGCAACCTTCTAGTGCTGTCAAATTGATTAATCGTGATTAATCGCGTCTATAAAAAAGTTTTTGTTATAGAATATGTATATATATATATATATATCACACACACACACACACACACACACACACACACACACACACACACATATATATATATATATATATATATACATTATATACTGTATATTTGTGACTATTTCTTTCAATATCTCTCAATTGCAACTTATAATCTAATTATAACTTCATATCTCACAATTGAGACTTTTTTGTCATGATTGCAACTTTTTTTTGCCTAATTATGACTTTTTATTTGGGCTGTCAAACGATTAATCGTGATTAATTGATTAATCGCATCCAAAATAAAAGTTTTGAAAGTTTGTCAAATAGTTTTTACATAATATATATATATATATATATATATATATATAAATACACACTCATGCTTGTATATATTTAAGAAATATTTCCATGTATATACTGTATATAGATTTATATATAATTTATATTATATATAAATATAAATATTTTATATATAAATAATACTTTATTTATTAAATATACATGCATGTTTATGTATATATATATAATTACACATATATTATATAATTATACACAGTGCACCCACATATATTATGTAAACACAAACTTTTATTTTGGATGTGATTAATCGTTTGACAGCCCTATTTTTATCTCACAATTGCTCATTTATTTCTCATTATGTCGACTATATTTCTGTCACAGTTATACGTACCATTTCCCTGTAATTCCTGAATTTCTCACAATTATGACATCACCACAATTTGCAAATTTATGTCTCAGTTGTGACTTTATATCTCCAAATTGCACCTTTTTCCTCAGAATCGTGACTTCATATCTCACAATTACAAATGTATATCTCCTAATTATGACTATATATCTCACATTAGCAACTTTTCTCATAACTGCGACTGTATATCTCACAGTTGCATCATTTGTTCCCCTCATAATTGTCTCCTACTTGCCAATTTGTGACTATAACACAGTTGATGCTTTATTTCTCATCATTTGGATTCTCAAATCTCGAACTAAATAACGAGTCTGGTTAAATATTGAGAATAATCTGATTAGCTAAACAATAGAATTAGCTTTCAGAAACTGTACTGAATACGTACAGCAGAAATAAGAACGGTAATGTATTTTCTGCCTCACCCCATCTCTGTGCTTCTGACGTCATCATTTCTTACTTTTGAAAGGCCATTCATTTTCCATTTGCTGTTAAGTAAGAAAACATGTCTAGTAAAAACAAGGACATGCTGAATTTGGAAGCCATATTGCACCATGCGTGTGTAAAATGAGCAGTATGGGTGTGTGCTTTCCCCCCGCAAGCTTCCTCACTCGTGTTTGCCGGTCACCACAGGCCCTGTGGGATCAATAAAGTGAGTACATCAGAGAAGAACATCCATCCACCGAACGGTCCGCTTCTCTGTTTGCAGGAGGATGCCCCAGTCAAGCCGTCAGTGGCTCAGCTGGCTGGGAGACTCAAAGGTCACGCGCTGCCGATGCCAGGAAACATGGAGGTAGTGGAACATCTGACGTCTTTCTGTTGGTCCTAATCAAAATTACATTTGTTTTTATTCATATGTTAAGTTTGGGGCGAGGAAAGGTTCAGAAACAACCTGAAATATCGAAATATCGTAATATTATAGCTTATGTTACTGAATTGCAGGTGAATTCTATGAGGAGACCCACATGTTCCCTGGTGATAAACAACCAAAAAGATGAAGAACATGAACAAGAAAAGGTGAGCATGTGACTTTACTGAAACACTCAGGAAAGTTAGAAATATTTTTTTTTCATGCCAGACTAGCAGTATACTGTATGAATTATAGATGAATAAAGTTGATTTTTTTCCCCTCAGTAAAATGTTTAATTATTAATACAGAACTTCAGTTTTAAGGGGCTGTTTACATTACATCATTTTCAAGTAAAAATGGAAAATGTTTACCCAAAATTTGTGTTTTGGGGGCCTGAAAGTGCAAATTTTGAAAACGGGTTTCAAAGTGAAAGTTTTTGAAAACATTACCGTTATCGTCTCCTTGTAAACTACAAAAATGTGAATTTGTGAAAATTACACATTGGTACATAGTCAACCGTTCTCTGAGATTTGATTTGATTTTTCATGATTCTCGAGCAGTCGAACCACGAACGCCAAGCCAAGTGCGCTGGTGAGATGTGAAAGAGCCAGAACTTGGCTCGGCGTTCGTGGTTCGAGTTGACGAGTTTCTTGTCTAGAAACCACGCGGAAATAACGCGAAACAACACGAAGAAGAGAAGAACACAACACGCGAATATGGATGTCAGACAGAAACTAGTGCTGCAAACTGTTTGCGCGATGATTTGCTCTGAGAAAAAACGCAAAAAAAAAAAAAAAAATATAGCTGCGAGCAGCGATTGCGGGCCCAAGCCGGTGGCACCGCAACCCTGATGCCTTTACTTACCCAAAGGCACCGGGATGGTGGTACCGCCGGCTTTGGCCCTTTATCGCTGCTCACAGCTATATTTTTATTTAATATAAAGCCGGTGGCACCGCCACCTTGGTGCCTTTAGGTTTATTCTGTACGACGTGTAAAAACGTAACCCCCGCTTTGACTATCAAAAAGAAGTGTATTGTAGAGCTTGCATCAATGCGGACTCGATGCGCTGTGCGCTGTAACTCCATGTGGCTTTAAGCGCATCATTCTCCACTCGGGATGCGCATAAGCGTTTTGTGCCACACTGTACTGAGTCTTTCATATCATAATGCAGTGACGCAATGACAGATTATTAATTGCCTTTCTTGTTCTGTTCCATCTATTATATGTTGATAATAGATAGGACAGAGCACTAAAAACCTCAAACAAAGCACTAAAAACTTAAGCTGTTTGCTGTGTAGTCTGAGAATGAGCTGTTTGATTTGCACCCTCTTCCTCTTCACTGTCCTCCATAAAAACCAGCTATCCAGGTCCATGTTGTTCTAGAAAGTTTGTATGTTGCTGCCTCAATTAACATCTCTGCTATACATTTAAAACATGGCTATATCTAAAATAATTTATCTTTTTGATTTTTGTCATCTTGTTTTTCATGAATATTTTACAACAATACAAAGAGCAATGTGTATTTTCCATTAATATAGTTTGTAATGGCTTTTTTTGTCATAGATTATAATCATATATTTTTTGGATTTGTTATTTATCTTTATAATGAAGTTGTCTGTATTAAGTAGATTGTGTTTAACACACAAGAGTGATTTATTAGTTCAACACATAGTTATAGAAATTCTACTTTATCTAAAAAAAACCCTGCACTTTATACACACACACACACACACACACACACACACACACACACATAAATACATGTAAATAAAAATACCAAAAAAAAACATCAAATGTGTTTTTAGTCAGAGTATTATTTTATACAGAAACAAATATTTGTAATTCAGATAAGAATGAAGTTAGTGTTTTAAAATCTTAAGGAAAACAAATATATTGAAATATAGCACATGAATTTTAAATTCATTCAACTTCAATTACAAATACAATCTTACTTTTATTTAAAGCAAACTATACATTTAAAAGATGGGGGTTATATGCCTATTTTGTCATTTAAAAATATTGTTATGCAAATTGTTATGCAAAAAGACAAGGACTTAGAGACAAGGACTTGTAGGAAAAATCACAGCCAGCCACACACACACACACATAAACACAGACAACAGCCCTCCCCTCCCCACACAGACACACACCCCCCCACACACACACACATAAACACAGACAACAGCCCTCCCCTCCCCACACAGACACACACACACACACAGAGAGAGAGAGAGAGAGAGAGAGAGAGAATCGCAGGGGAAATAAATCCATTCAAACTACAATATCTGACTTTCTGTTGCTCAGAGCGAATGACTTTAAATTGGAAAGTTGATCGGCTTGACGAGAACAATATACGTGGTAAGTTTTGTAACTGTAGGTAAATTGAGCAAAGTTATAACACACTTTATGTGTCCTTTTTTAGTCATAAAATTCATTTCCTCGCCACGGCCAGACCGTTCGAGATATCAAAAATCCGTCCGGAATTGAGCATCCTCAATGTCTTGACTTCATGCACACCGAGTTTGGTTGTGATTGGTAAACACATGCATTGTGATTTGATGTATTTCTCCTAGGACAATTATTCAAACAACCCATAATTCATAATTCATAAATAACTTCCATTTGAACTGTCATAAAACTTAGAGCACGAAAGTTGTTTGGCCTGATGTGATCTATAATTGTACCGAGTTTCATATTAATTCATGCAAGTGTGTTTGATTTATGGTCAAATGTTCGAATCCCAGTCCAGGGGGCGCTGTCGAGCCGCCCTGCCACGCCCGGTTACCAGCTTCAGCCCGGCCCTGATGGCCATGGGTTCTGACCCGTGTGCAAAGTTTCAAGAGTTTTCGAGGATGTTCAGGCCCCCGAAAATGCCAGAGAAGTCGCACACAGCAAATAAAGGGTTAAAATTAACCTGACAGGCGCCCCTCCTCTCACTCACACAGAGGGACACTGAGACACTGGCAAAATTCTGAGATTTTCTCTACATTCAAACAAACATATCTGACTTTCTGTGGGTCCTAGCTAATGAGTGTCAATTAGAAAGTTGTCCGGCTCGAGTAGTACAATAAACATACCGATTTTTGTAACTGTAGATAAAACTAACAACCCCACTTTTGTCAAAAGGTGGCGCTACTGAGCCCTCACCACGCCCGTTTCTGCAACTTTGCACATGTCTACTGGCTAATAAATGTGATGTGTCTGTTGAGTTTCAAGCAATTTAAAGCATGCTAAGGGTCTCAAAAGCATCCTAAAAGAATGGTAAAGTTTGATGCGTCGCCACGGCAACAGTTTCAAAGATATCAAGAATCCATTCACAGGTCTACATCTGCCCTATGTTTACATTATACAGATGAAGTTTGAAGCAAATCGGGTAAAAATAAAAGGGTGATTTCAAAGCATTTTGAAAGTGACACACTTCCTGCTGCCAGTTGGTGGCGCTATAACTTTGACTCACAATAGTCACATCCATGTGATCGTCCTCTTACAGCGAACACACTGCTGAAGTTTCATCAAGATCAGTTAATGTATGCTGAAGTTATAACACACTTCCTGTTTCACGTTTCTCGCCATGATTTCATTTCCTCGCCACGGACAAACCGTCCGAGGTATCAAAAATCCCCTCGCAAACTTTCATCCTCAATGCCTTGACTTCATGCTGACCGAGTTTCGTGCCGTGTGTTTGAATTCTCTAGGAGGAGTATTGCACATTCCATTGCGAGCATTTTACAAACAAACCTCAATAGCCAACTTCCTGTTGGGCTGGGGTAAAAAGTAATAGTTTGAGGTATATATGAACGATGAGATCAACATGTGTACCGAGTTTCATATTATTACATGCAAGCGTGTTTGAGTTATGGACCAAGTGTTCGGACCCCGTTCCAGGGGGCGCTGTCTAGCCCCCCTGCCACACCCAGGTACCATCTTCAGCCCGGCTCTGACGGCTGTGGAATCTGACCTGTGTGCAAAGTTTCAAGAGTTTTCAAACCCGTTAAGGGCCCCAAAATCCGCTAAGAGTCTCAAAATCATCAAAAAAAAAGAATTTTAAAGTTTAATGCTCTGCCACGGCAACAGTATCAAAGATATCAAGAATCCATTCACAGGTCTTCATCTGCTATGTATTTACATTATACAGATTAAGTTTGAAGCAAATCGGGTAAAAATAAGAGGGTGATTTCAAAGCATTTTGAAAGTGACACACTTCCTGCTGCCAGTTGGTGGCGCTATAACTTTGACTCACAATATTCACATCCATGTGATCGTCCTCTTACAGCAAACAAACTGCTGAAGTTTCATCAAGATCAGTTAATGTATGCTGAAGTTCTGACACACTTCCTGTTTCACGATTATCGCCATAATTTCGTTTCCTCGCCACGGCCAAACCGTTCGAGATATCAAAAATCCCCTCGCAAACTTTCATCCTCAATGCCTTGACTTCATGCTGACTGAGTTTCGTGCCGTGTGTTTGAATTCTCTAGGAGGAGTACTTCAAATTCCATTGCGAGTGTTTTATGAACAACCCTAAATAACCGACTTCCTGTTGGGCTGGGGTAAAAAGTAATAGTTTGAGGTATATATGAACGATGAGATCAACATGTGTACCGAGTTTCATATTATTACATGCAAGCGTGTTTGAGTTATGGACCAAGTTTTCGGACCCCGTTCCAGGGGGCGCTGTTCTAGCCCCCCTGCCACGCCGGGTACCATCTTCAGCCGGCCCTGATGGCCGCGGATTCTGACCCGTGTGCAAAGTTTCAAGAGTTTTTGAGCATGTTAAGGGCCCCAAAAGTGCCCAAATAGTCGTATAAATAATAATAATAATAATAATAATCGTTAGGAAAACAATAGGGCCTTCGCCCTTTCAGGGCTTGGGCCCTAAAAAAAGATTTACCCAGTGACCTCAATCCATGCCTTGCTCTGATTGGCTGTTGCGCATGACATCACTGAGGTTGAGTCGTGCGACGGCTCTGGATATCTAGCATGCTAGATATTGTTCTGGGCTCGGCAAAACGTCTGCGAGCGTCTTTGATGCGTTGTTGGCTCTTGCATACTAACAGATTGGCGAGTGTTCATCGCCCGCCAGTCCCCCGAGATTTGCACGCGATAACACCCTGACTTGTCGCCGTGCTCAATGATTTGCAAATCGGGCTTAATAGAGAGCCTAAGTCCCGCCCCTCCGCTTCCGGCTCATGGGACCTTATTTTGGAAAAAATATGAATGGTAGTCAATGGCGAGAGACAACTTATCTTTTTATTCCGTCTGAACTGTGCCCTGAATTACACATATGATGTTTGTCAATTTAAAAGATAATTCTGAAAGTCAAAAACGTCGCAGTTTGTCATAAAACAGAAGAGTAACATTTAGTTTTATGTGAAAATCGTTCTGTGAACTACATCTCCCGGGAAGCGAAACGAGATCCGCTGCTCGTGTGTGTGCAGTCTTGTACAAAACACTCAGGTATGACGGCGTAACGTTACGATTATAACGTAAGACTGTAGAAACAATGACAGACAGCCTCAGTAAAGTTAGCCTCATTCATTGAGAGAAAATGTGCGCCATTGGGGTTTGTAGTCTTTGTAATTACGTATTTTCACAGTCTTATACCTCAACGGTTTTACATCAAACTGCGACTTTCTTTACTTTAAAATGTATCTTTTAAATTGACAAACATCATATGTGTAATTCAGGGCACAATTCAAACGAGATCAAAATATTTGTTGTCTCTTGCCATTGACTTCCATACAATATTTTTCCGAAATAAGGTCCCATGGTGGTCGACCGGAAGGGGAGGGACTTAGGCTCTCATGTAGTCTGAACTAGACACGTGCTCAGTCTAAAGGCTTCTTTACTATGTCACATCGCCATCTACTGGCCTGGAATGAATAATACAGAGTTTTTAGTCGTTTTCACGGACCCGTTGTCAAAGTTGTCGACTGTATGCGAAACTTTTCAAAAGTGAAAAGGAAAAATGTTCCATCTTTAGTACATCATTGTTATGTAAATATACCCTAAGTTTACTGAGTTAGATATTAGGTTACAATTACTCGAAAAATTACTGTACGTAGTAAAACGGGAACTTTTTTCCTATGTGCATGACGTTACCGTTTTCACAAATTTGTGTATTTGTAGTTTACAAAGAGATGATAATGGTATTGTTTTCAAAAACTTGCACTTTGAAACCAGTGTTCTTAAAAGTTTGTGTATTCAGGCCCCCAAAATGCAATTGTCGTGTAAATGAACATTGTGTACAGGCTCTTGGTAATTGATTAATGTGAACACACCTTGTTATACTCTATGCCAGTTGTATAGTGAATGGAAAACGAACTTAGTCAATATGTCTCTTAAATACCTGATTTTTCTGGCACAGAAGTCGTCTAACTCTCCTCATCCTCCCAAGATGAAGTTAAAGAGTTCTCCCCTCATAGAAAAACTCCAGGTGAGATCGATCCGCTTCATTGTCCATTTCATACAAGGTCTTGGTTTCACCACACTTATGATTTGCATTTGAAAGAGCAGCATTTTGAGGCTGCTTATCAATATCACGTACCATTTTCAAAGTCATCTTTCATATAGGAAACAGGAAATCTGTCGCATCATAAAATCTGCAATTGTTTGCATTTTCAGTGTATTTTAGGTGTGTATGCAGCATTAATGGTCTTTTCATATCTTTTTTTTTGGTAACAATATTTTGATAGTGCACTTTAGACCTTCTACTAACATGTAGTAGCAAAGTTATAGTTAGTAGGATCTAAAGTGAACTATCGCAAATAAAGTGTACCCTTTTTTGTGTGCCAATTTGTTGTCTAACTTTACCACCAAAATACAGTCATATAGAATTCTGTCTATCCCTTTTCACTTTATGGTCTAATATGCTGTAAAATGCAGTATATAGTATGCATACTATCCATATAATATATATAATGAAGTATAAACTAGTAGTAATATATGATTAAACAAACGTATCATCTTCCTTAAATCATTACAGGACACTCTTGCACACATTTTCCTAAGACTAGTAGGTGGTATACAGTGTATATTGTGAAGTTTTCATTATTGCAAACAAAGCCAAGGTTTTCTGCAGCTCTTCTGCCTCCTAGAGTTCAAACTGTCCGACTGCAAGGCCAATACCCACACCTAAACCCCACACGTATCTCTCCTGAGAGCTGTTAGTTAGTCTGACCTGTCATTGGTCAGTGTAATACATCTGCTCGTGAACGGGACGGGTCTGCACCGTCTCCTCTGATTGGCTCAGACCTGGGATGTAATGAGATAAGGGCTTATCCAGTGCAGTGAGAGCTGAGCTAGTCTCCACTATAGCAGCCATCAGGCAGTCATGGGACAAAAGGGTTGCCGTTTCTCTCTCTTCCTGTTCTCTCCCGCACAGGTAGGAGATATTTATTTCGGATAAGGCTCTTTCGTTTTTACAGTGCAAGAAGAGCTCAAACAAGTGTTTTAAGTTGCTGTTAATAGACGTGTATATATATCCACTTCAGTCGTATGGATCACCTAAATCACCTGAGCATTAAGATTTTAAAAAAAATTGAGTACCGCTTCCTTCTACAGTACAGTACTTACAGTGTACTTCTGGCTAATATAATGTAAGTACATGGGCTCAGGGTTAGTAGTTATTACCCAGTAATTGTACTTACTACAATAAGTACATAGTATGTAATGGGTTACAGGACTGTAAAAGGAAGCGTTACCAAAATTTGTTGGTTTTCTAGTTTGTTCGCTGATGTACCTAGTCCATATATTAAGTAGTCCAGTAGCGTATGAAAGAGGTTAAACATGGGTAAGAGTATCCGTGTAGTCAAGAAGGAGTGTATTTAAGAACTTAGATAATACTACTAATGCTGAATGTCTTTTAATCAACATTTATAATATGTGTCCCCCCACGTTCTACTGACACCGTCGCACTACACAATAAATACTTTTTTTTCAACAGTTAACATATTTTTATATTATGGTTTTAGCTTTAGTTCAGTATGTCTTGAGCAACACATTGCCCTCTGTGCCACCAAACATAATTAATAAGTAAGGTAATTTTTCATATTCCTACAATTTTATGTTGTCTTCAGTTGCATTATGTTTAAATCTGCATTATATCATCCTCTACTCTCTAGAATGACCTTTAAAACCTATATCAGTGGACCACTGGCTTTGTCTCTATTAAAGAACATTTTGCAGGAGCTTTAAAACCATAATTTTATTCTCTCTTTCAGGCCAATCTTGCTCTCTCTCCAACTGTCCTGCTCTCCCCACCCAAAAGTCCAGAGTCTAAAGAGCCAGCCAGCGCGTCCTGTCCCATCAGTCCCTGCCGCCCCGCGAGCTCCACCCTGCAGCCCGTTCACCTGTCCTGTGAAGATGAGGCGCCGGTTAGCTTCGAGCAGCCGGTCGAGGGCACTCCACTGCCCAACATCAACAAGGTCAACTCGCCTAATGCCACTTTCAAATGCAAAAAAAAACACATTTTAAATGTGAAGAACGAAGATTTGGTTCAGATAAAGAAGTGATATTTATGATAAAATATTTACACTACTTAAAACATGGCTGATACAAATTTCTTACTTCAGAACAGTGGAAATGGTACAGTGATGGCAAAATAATAATAATAAGATGGGAGAAAAATGCTACGTTTCACGGGTGAACACAACTTTTCAAATTTTCTTGAGGTTACGTGATACTTTTGCGAGAGAATATACATTTTCTTGGGGTAACGCATTACTATTGAAAGAGAACGCAAAGTGTCACGGGGAACACAACACTTTTGCGAGAGAATTAAAATTTTCTTGGGGCAACGCAATAATATTGAAAGAACGCAAAGTTTCACGGGGAACACAACACTTTTGCGAGAATATTCAAATTTTCTTGAGGTAACGTAAAACTTTTGCGAGAGAATACACATTTTCTTGGGGGAATGGAATAATATTGAAAGAACGCAAAGTTTCACAGGGGAAACACAACACTTTTGCGAGAGAATTCAAATTTTCTTGGGGTAACGCAATAATATTGAAAGAACGCAAAGTGTCACGGGGAAACAACACTTTTGCGAGAATATTCAAATTTTCTTGAGGTAACGTAAAACTTTTGCGAGAGAATACACATTTTCTTGGGGGAACACAATAATATTGAAAGAACGCAAAGTGTCACGGGGAAACAACACTTTTGCGAGAATATTCAAATTTTCTTGAGGTAACGTAAAACTTTTGCGAGAGAATACACATTTTCTTGGGGGAATGGAATAATATTGAAAGAACGCAAAGTTTCACAGGGGAACGCTTTACTTTTGCGAGAGAATTAAAAAATTTTTGGGGGTAACGCAATAATATTGAAAGAACGCAAAGTGTCACGGGGAAACACAACACTTTTGCGAGAGAATTCAAATTTTCTTGAGGTAACGTAAAACTTTTGCGAGAGAATACACATTTTCTTGGGGGAACACAATAATAATGAAAGAACGCAATGTTTCACGGGGGAAACGCTTTACTTTTTCGAGAGAATTCAAATTTTTTTGGGGTAACGCAGTAATATTGAAAGAACGCAAAGTGTCACGGGGAAACACAACACTTTTGTGAGAGAATTCAAATTTTCTTGAGGTAACGTAAAACTTTTGAGAGAAAACTCAAAGTTTCATGGGTTAACGTAATGCAGTTTATGGGGGAACGCAATACTTTTGCGAGAGAATGCAAAGTTTCATGAGGGAACTTGACACTTTTACGAGAGAATACAAAGTTTCTCAAAGGAACATTTTGTGAGATTTTTTCATATAGGAGAAGAACGCACATTCCTTTTATGAGGGAACGCGAAACGCACATTTTCTCAAGGGAACCTTATACTTTTCCCATCTATTTTTTCCCCGTCACTTTTTAAATTATAAGTGTATGAATAACAAACACTCGGATAGCATCAGTAAATAATAACTAAGGCTGTAATCACATAATACAGTATATGACTGTGCGTGATTAAATGAAGTTTAACGGCTCAACCTGTATTTGTTGCATCTAATGTAATGGGGAAACCTGATCTCTTGATAGTTCAGCAGTAACTTTTACAGTCTTGCTGTTTCTCCGAGAATCCGTGAGGTGTGCAGAACGGGATCTGATGATATCAGCATGAAGGTGCACGTGCCTTTGCGTGCAGAGTCAGTATTGTGTGCTTAAGCTCTGCGTAAGCCAATAGACACTGTCCATGCGCTGCCGAGGACATAACAGGGTTTGAGAACTGTAATCCAATCAGGCCACTTCTGCATCTCACCATCTGTACCTCTCCTAAGAGCATTCACAACAGAATATTATTAAGGAGTAGTTAGCTCCTGAACTATGGTTATGCATTGAAAACTATATCCCATAATGCATTTGGCCCCAACTTAACCTTACAATTTCAGTGTGACAAAAGAATTGGTAGTAATTTAAACTTTTCTTTGACAGTCTGAAATGTTTATCATTGCGTATTTCATTCTGCATCATGTACTGCTCTTGATTTCACCAAGTACAACATAAACTTGACATAAACTGTAAACGTGTCCCTCAAATCTGATTGGTTGATTGGAATGTGGTTTCAGGATTAACATTCCAATCAACCAATCAGATTTGAAATAAAACTGAAACGTTTTTGTTTTAGTAATATTTCTTAAGTTACTACTTTTTTCAGAACCTTCATAGAACATTAAAAAGGAATGTCAGTAATGTTTGCAAAATTCTAAAATGGAATGTTCCCCAAAATTCGCCAAACCTGAACATTTTGAACTTTCAGAAATGAGATTACCGTATTTCGTATATCCTGTACAGTATATCCCTTATATTTCAGCAATCATCTTGTGCCTGTTTTCTATCAGAATCAGTTCGAACGATGCCAGATTTGCAAATAAATCTCTCTTTTTTTTGATAATTTCTGACTTTTTTTTTTGCAAAAAGGTCTGAATTTGTTTATGATTCAGTTTGCCTATGGCTAGAAACACCCCTGATGTAATCTTCACTGCTTTGTCCATTATACGATTACATAATAGTGTACATTAGGTTGTCAGTGGTTACTCGGAGTCCAGGTTTAACATAAACTAAATCCTGTTTTTGTTGTATGTCCTTAAAATCTCGTATAATCCAATGTGAGTCCTGTCAGTGAGCAAAACCACAGCCATGATAGTAAAGAAGTAGGTAGAGAAGAATGTTGATAACAAATGTGCTTTAATTTCCCTCAGTAATGAAAAGTACTGATAAAAATAGTTCAGTGCAATTAAAAATGTATAACTTTTTCAAGGGCCATTACCACATCAAACCTCACTGTCTAAATTTCAGATTACTCTGCATTTATTTTTGCAATAAATTACTCAAAATATTCAGGTTACAGCCTTCATTTCACGCAATATTTGTGTATTGTTACGCTTCCAGAGTATTGTTTTGTTAGCTTAGCAAAATGCTAACGCCAAAGTGCTGGAATCCATTGGGGCTATTTGTGTGACACAAGGAGTCGCAGCTGATGTAAAGTGATTCATTTATTAGGTTCTGTCCTATCGCAGCGACACTAACTGTGTTTTGGAACAACAGTCGCAGTATATATTTTATTAAACTTCAACTTGTACCCCCGGCTAGTCTGATTTTGTGTCTTCACTCCACAGAGTCGAGCTAGGCTGTCTTTCAAGCGCCGGCTGCCCACAAGGCTACACAGAAAGTCAGCATGTGAAGAGGCAAAAGTGAATGAAGGATGTGACTCTCCGTTTCAACCAGATACTGAACTCCAGAATGGGGATGAAGGGGAATGGCCTTTGCAGGAGAATACAGCAGATTCAACAGACTCTGCTCAACCCACCGAAGACCCACAGCAGGAAAAAGACAGGACAGAGCACAAAGATGCACCCCAAGAAAACCAGTGGACTGAAGTAACCCATACAGGAGAAGGGGGAGAAGTAACTGAGGGAGGATTTGAACCTTCTGACTGTAAATGGGCCCAAGAGGAAGAGAAGGAAGAGGACAGGGCAGAAGTCAAAGAGGAAGTGCTGGATGCAGTGAACAACTCAGAATAGACGTAATAGGCCAAAGCTCATCAAAATGGATTATTGCATTGCTTTAGCAAACTAGAATTGTGGGAAGATTATTCTGGACGACGTATGAACGAGTTTCTAAAAAATAGACTCCATGATGGATGAAGATGGACTGAATTCCTCTCTTTTAGGGTTGTGGATTTGGGGATTAATATTGCTGAAGCAAATATCCCACAAAAGGATAGATGTTATCAATTCATCCTCATGGCTTTTTATGTTTACGATCTCATTTGCATGTTTTTGTATGATCTGTTTACGCCTCACTGCGGGTTATAGGTTAAAGGATGGACCTTCATGCTTACTTTTTTCCTAAAACGTGTTTTCGTACAAATCACGTTGTATTACGCATACGAATTTGCCACCAATCTGGCAAAATGGAAAATAATTGTTTTCCCAAGAGGTCGGAATGGATTTTAGTTTTAATTTATACTCTAGGGTTATTCATATGCCTCGATGTTATTGCTTTCGTATTGTAAACTTATGTTGCTGTTCAGAAAATGAGAACAATTTCAGCTTTGGAGAGCATTTTGAAAGCACTTTTCGAGCCTTTGACTGAAATAAGTGTTTTAAAATATCTCACATGCCTCTGTGACGGGCCTAGACTCTGTAAATAGCAAAAAATAGGGCCGGCATGCACTTTTTTTGGACAGTAAGAAAACGAACCAATCAGAAACGTACTGTACCTGTCAATCATTTTGAGTGTTTGGGTTCGCCGACATTGGCTCGGCTGGAGGTTTACGTGTAGTTGAAGTTGTTAAATCTTGCGAGCATATAGTAAACGAGCTAAATACGAACAAAATAGTGGCAGAGATATTGCAAAAGCCAAATTTACCTGCAGTCTCCATTGCTATGCAAAAATATTGTATTTTTAAATGAAAAAGCCTGAGATGTATCACTGTGACTGCAACGCTACTGTACTGCAATGACCTTTTATTACCATATAAGACTGAATAAAGAGCTTTATTTACACTTACCAGATGCTTTCCTTTATTACGTACAGCTGTAATTTAGGGTTGACGGTTTGTAATTGTTAATCTTGAACAATTATATTTGCTCTTTTTTCATAGTTCTTGAAAATTGTCATTTACTCACCCCATAGACAACTTCTTTTCTTCATTTTGCAGAATGGCTCTTTTTTTCAATTAAAAAAATATATATAAAAAACCCCAAACAAATCTCTTAAATATCAATAGATTTTCCGATTGAAATATTACATATCAAAATGGCAATTTTGATTGGGCACAAGATGTGAAAACAATTAATTTGGACTTAAGGGATATTCATCCAAAAATGAATTACATCAAGTTGCGCCAAACCCGAATGGATTTCTTATTTTTTGCTGAACACAAAAGAAGATATTTTGAAGATTATGGGTGAGCAAACAGTTGATGGGCCTCACTGACTTAAATAAATAAATACTATGGAAATAAATATTATTTATAAATAGTACGGAAGAACTAATTCCTAATAGGCTAATATTTCCTAGCATTTCGACAATAAAGTGGAAATTAAAGTCGAAATATTTTGAGATTAAAGCCTAGAAAAAAAAAATGTTTTTACGTTTCCGTAGTTTACCTACCAAGATTTTTCAAAATATCTTCTTGTGTTTTCAGCAAAAAAATAAGAAATCCATTCGGGTTTGGCGCAACTTGATGTGATTCATTTTTGGGTGAATATCCCTTTAAGTCCAAATTAATTGTTTGAAGAAATTGTTTAATTGAAGAAATAAATTCATTTGGTATAACTTGAGGGTGAGCAAATGATGACAGAGGTTTTATATTTGGGTGAACTATCCCTTTAAATACAAATCTCTTTCTCACACACAAGCTGTTGCTTCAATAGCGCAAAGGTTGTGTAAACACTACTCGACGACATGCAGCCACAGTCCTCATTCTCTGTAATGCAGGGTGAACACACTTTAAAACCTCAAAACTAATTATTTTGTGTTCCACTGATAAAATATCTTTTGGTACACGGGGAACGTGACTGAATTTTCATTGCTAGTTGAATTCAAATTTGCTCAAAATGCAGCCTACGTGTCCACAAGGGGGCAGACGGGTTGACACCTGTGTTTACCTGGAAGGAACAACTTGAATGCTTACACATATGTGTCATCATTGGTGTAAATATGAATCAGTCGTCAGTCAGTAAAGGCATACACCCACAGTTCCTGTAACACCAGCTCAGTTGCCCTTTACTTCAGTTTCGCTTTATTACATATAGTCCTCGCAATACGAGACACTTTAACACTCGGAGTTTAGCTGTATTATCATTATCAGCATCCACATTGAGGAGAAATAGGGAACCAGCTTATTTATTCTTTATTAACAAAATGTAACAATTTGTATAACAACACAGCATTGTTTCTAGCCATAACACCGCTCCGGGGAAACTCATTGCCTCAGTCAGTTCCGGGTGCGTGGATCTCAGGTTGTCTGTTTAAATAGTGTCTATGGAAGAATGAGCGACGAGCTGGAGTTAAAGCCTTTAAAATTTGGCCCTGACAACAATAATGACCCCGGTGGTGACCAAGGAAATGAGGTACATTGGCAAAAATGTTTATTTTATTTATTCTAATCTAGTTTTATGTTCATTGACTTGTTTAGTTTCTCACGGTGTCTGGGCAAGCGCGTGCACGTTCAGAGAGCAACTATTGTATTATCGCTGTTTGATCGAAGGATTTATGGAAAAAACGCTTTGATTTTTTTTTTATTATTAATTTCCTGACAAAAAGTAGGCTACCTTAGTATTTAAATGCAAACCTTGACCTGGATTATTAGGCTATATACATTATTGTATCCAATCTTCATAAAATACCATGTCAGCTGAGAAGTTTGGCCAAGATGCTCTTCATCTAGTTGAATAAATCTCATAAAACATATAAAACCAGTTATTTAAAACCTGTTATTTCATTATCATTCTATAAAACACACTACACAAGAAATTCAATTCATACATGAATACAGTCAATGACTTGAATACAGGAAATTGTAAAACAACAACAACAAAAATGGCTAAATGTTTTTAATGGTCTAAACAACAATATGTTCAGAAAAAAGCAAAAGTTAAGCAAATGCACTGCTTGAAAAGATATTGTTGTCTCAGAAAAACATCAGAGACAGAGTTACACGATGATGTTCTTTAGCGGTGTCTTCAAAAACCTGTCGAGAATTATAATCTCAATGCATCTTTACCACAGTGAAGCATGGGGGAAGAGTCATTGTGTGGGGAGCCTTTGAGCTGCTGGTATTGGTGATACTTCACTGTGAACAATCATGATCCTCTGGTTTCACAGACAAGCCCCTGTTTTAAAGGGATAGTTCTCCCAAAAATGAAAATTACCCCATGATTTACTCACCCTCAAGCCATGCATCCTACTGTAGGTGTATATGACAATCTTCTTTCAGACGAATACTGTACAATCTGAGTTATATTAAAAATGTCTCTTCCACGCTTTATAATGGTAGTGGATGGATGTTTCTATCAATAAAAGTGCATCCATTCATGATAAAAGTGCTCCATTCATCGCTGTGGATTAATACAGGACTTCTGAAGCAAAGCGATGCGTGTGAGAAAAATATCCATATTTAAAACTTTATCAACTGAAATAACTAGCTTCCGTAAGATGGCTGCAGTGTTGTAGTACTCGAGACTCGGACTCGTCTCGGACTCGGTCTCGAGACCATATTTTAATGGTCTTGGTCTTGTCATGGACTCGTGTCCATTTGGACTCGGAATTGACTCGTACTCGAACATTTTTTTTTTTAGGACTCGGAATTATTCCCGTGTCCACTCGAGTTCAATTCAAAATATTTTTCATGATTATTAATGTATGTTAATAAAATATTTCTTTAAATTGATTGACACGCCCAGTGATTGGTGATTTTCTAGTGCGCAACTGCGCATGACAAATTGTAATAAAATTACTTTTAACACCACCTACTATGTGGCCTTTTTACCCTAAACTGATCATATTTTTTAAACTCTAAGTAAATTCAGTAAAAAAAAAAAAAAAAAAAAAGTATTTCTCTAAATAAATAAAAGTAAATTAGGTAATCAACCCTCACCGGTCTCGGTCTCGACTCAGACTCGACTCTCTATGGACTCGGTCTCGACTCGGACTCGACCGTCTCTGGTCTCGGACTCGACTCTCTATGGTCTCGGTGTCAACTCGGACTCGAGTGAGGTGGTCTCGACTACAACACTGGATGGCTGTACGCATCGATTGAAAGAGGTGAAAGAGTAACACCTGATAGACCAAAACAAAAACACCAGTCACGAATTAGAAGCTTAAAACAAGACTTTTTAAAGAGAAATGTCGGAAGAGCTTGACCTAGAAGAATGACCTAGGATGGCTTGAGGTTAAATCATGAGTAAATCATGGGGTAATTTAAATTTTGGGGAAAATATCCCTTTAAATGAAAGCAATTTGCACTGGCATATAGTAAAATAGGTCAGTGTCATTGTTTTGTGATGCATACAGCAGTAACGTTTTTTTTTTCTTTCTTTTTTTAAGACTCGTTTATAAAAGGTACTTCAGTGTCCTAATTGAACCAAGGTCTATGTGAAACCACAGGGCTTTTTTGTTGTTTTTTAAAATTGCTTGCACACAATTTCTGAAACTATGGGTCCATTTCTCTAAACTCTACTCACAAAACTACAACAACAAAACTACAAATCACGCATCTCTTGCAAAAGCATGCTTAATTCAATACTATTTCACTTTTTTTGAAAAATGGTGTTTTTGTATGGTAACTTTATACACAAACTATCAAATGATTAGCCATGTACACTTTTTCATAAACACTAGTACAATTATGGAACTGAACTAAATCGATACTGATTGAGCTTGAGAAATGGACTAAATAAACAGAAATGCAAGGGTGAAAAATGTATTTGTTTCTCAAAACATTGAGTTTCTAAATTCAAATTTGGTATATTTTACACTATAAACAAAGAAAAATAAATAATTTCTCCCTCTGAACAACGAGTTTGGATTTCTAAGGCCCTGTTTACACGACAACGCTGGCGGCTGAAAAATTTAAAATATTTTATCGGATGTGCCTTTCGTTTACATGACGATGGCGTTTTTGGGGCTTAAAGGGTTAGTTCACCCAAAAATGAAAATTAAGTCATTAATTACTCACCCCCATGCAGTACCAACCCCGTAAGACCTTCGTTCATCTTCGGAACACAAATGAAGATATTTTTGATTAAATTTAAGAGCTGGATCAGTCCTACATAGACTTCCTAAGGGACTGGCTCTTGACGGCCCATAAAGTCATTAAAGAAAATGTTTAAATATTCCATGTGCCTACAGCGGCTCAATTATAAGTTTATCAAGCGACGAGAATAATTTTGTGCGAAAAAAACATAAATAACGACTTTATTCGACTATTCCATTACTTCCTTATGGGCGCATGCGCGAGAACTGAGACGAGGACGTTCTTCTTCGACTACTTCTTGTTACCGGCTGCTCACCGCTAGTATTACCGCCCCCTACCGTATAATATGATGTGCTGATATAGCTGGAAGCGCAAAACTTTCTGTTTACAAGCAGAGGAAGATGCGCGCTGTACATACGCTTTTCAATTAGCGTATTTTCCGCACTATAAGGTGCACTTAAAAGCCTTTAATCTTCTCAAAAAACGACAGTGTTCCTTATAATCCGGAGCGCCTTATATATGGATCATCATCTTATACGGTAGGGGGCGGTAAAACTCCTAAGCGGTGAGCAGCCGGTAACAAGAAGTAGTCGAAGAAGAACGTCGTCATCTCAGTTCTCGCGCATGCGCCCATAAGGAAGTAATGGAATAGTCGAATAAAGTCGTTATTTATGTTTTTTTCGCACAAAAAGTTTTCTCGTCGCTTGATAAACTTATAATTGAGCCGCTGTAGGCACATGGAATATTTAAACCTTTTCTTTAATGACTTTATGGGCCGTCAAGAGCCAGTCCCTTAGGAAGTCTATGTAGGACTGATCCAGCTCTCAGATTGAATCAAAAATATCTTCATTTGTGTTCCGAAGACGAACGAAGGTCTTACGGGGTTGGTACAGCATGGGGGTGAGTAATTAATGACTTCATTTTCATTTTTGGGTGAACTAACCCTTTAAAAACGCAAAAAAAAAAGTGAAACCACCCTCCAGAGTGGAATTCGCTCCACCGCCCCGTTCCCATGTAAATGGTAAAAACCAGAGCCATGGCTCTGGTAAAAACGCAAAGGTCTGCTTGACAGTGAAGGTTGTAAGCAGGCGCGCGGGCTTGGTGTTGTAGTATGCACTGGAGTGCATACTAGATTGAATTTCACAGACTTTTGCGTCACCATCTGCACGCGGATTTCACAACCAAAACGCTCGTCTAAACGCAGAATAAAAAGTGACAACGCAACGCCACTTTTGCGTTTTCTCTTCAGAATCGTTTCCGTGTAAACATAGCCTACGTGAACAAATCATGAGTAACTGTTTTCACACATGATCGTTGGTAATTGGGAAATGATTGTGCCATCTATATGGTAATGTTTTCCAAATGAGAAACAAGAGCTGTTAGTTGAGTAATGTGTCTAATGTAGAGGACTGTGTTTGGCTTTTTTTTCCCCAAAAGGTTTGTTTTACAACTGCCATCTGTGTGTAAAGCAGATCATTCGCTTGCGGTTTTGCAGACTTGGTCAGAAGATGAAGTATGCAAGTCAATGGTTTCACTGAGTGGGCCAGTACCATTTTTAGTGTCTAAGCAATGTTAAAACGCTATAATGCTTTAAAGTACAAGTAGACAGTAAACTTGCTTCCCACAAATGAAAAGTTGTTATCTAAAAAGGAATGATCAGATGATATCCTAATATTCAAGAAGTGGCTTGAGAACAAGTCCATCTGGCTCATGTTTTGGCATCGGTCAGAGTCCAGATTTGAACCGTGTGTGTATATAGTATATAAGTGGATAGGAAATGTTTACATAATGGTTGCATGAATCGTTTCTTCAAATGGGTATAAATCTATTTCAGAACCATATGAAAACAACACGAGTACATTTCTAAGAACATAGCACATTTTAAAACTAGTTTTCCCTACTTTTTAAAAAGATGAACCCTTTTCTTCATGCTGGACTCTCTTTCATGACATTGTTTTGCTAGTGGCCATTATCTAAAGATATATATTTAAAACACTGCTACTGTACAGAGCAATATTTTAATCTTAATATGTGTGTAAATTGTGCAAGTGTTCACAGGGAAATGGATTTTGCACGATCCAGGTCGGGACAGATGAAGTTTCTAATCTTCTACCAACACCACAGGTGAATGCCTTTTACTCATAACTTTTGATTGGCTGAAGAAATCAATGATTTACAGTACATATGCCAGACGCTTTTATCCAAAATGATTTGCGTATACATTTTTATCAGTTCGGGTGTTCACTGAGAGTTGAATCCACGATCTTCCTGTCGCGAGTGCCATTCTCTACTGTTTGAGCTACAGGAACGGCTTTAAAATGAATGAATCGGATGGTTTTGTGCCAAAGCAAAGCCATTTTATTTGACATTGCAAAACCATTTGGATATACATTTGCAATGCACTGTATGTCAAAATGGGTTTGCTTTGGCACACAACCGCCATAGTTTCTTTCATTCAACTACATAAGCTGGTCCTTTCACTTTGTCTCGCATTGAAACATGATACGCAATGACTCAAATAAAAAATATGCATGGTTGACAAATACACAAGTGTGCCTCTAATCTCCAATGCTACTTTCACTCATGTTATTGAAGAAAGCTTCACTTGATATGTGCAACCTGAAAACTCAGAAATGAAGCAGCAAACTGATCCTTTAGTTTACTTTGACCTGTCTGGATGTGTGTGTTCAGGCCGCAGAGAACATCGGGAATCAGGATGAAGTGGATGGAGATGATGTGGATGCTAACTCACAAACTGAAACTTCAAGGGTAAATCTGAAACCAGAAGCCATTATTTATGTGTATATAAAAAAATATGGTGCATGTTTATTCCTCATGAGTGAATTAGTCCAGCTATGTGCACTATTAGTTTTTTTTAAGAGGATGTGTTGTCAAGATCACTGGACCTGAAAACTGTATGTGCACTGTAAAGTAAATCGCTCTGTGTATCCGGACTTGCCTTTGAACGACACTTGAGAGAAACCCTTGTGATTGCAGTGGCGAAGGGAGTTGCAGAGCCTAAAGACTGAACTGAATGAGAAGGTGGTGTGGAAACTCAAACTATGGATGGTGATACTTCTCGTCTTCTTTGTCATCGCTCTGGTTATTGCGATCTCATTGATTGCGTGTGCAGGTATAGATTCTCCATTCTGTTTCATTGATTATGTCACTAGTGCAATTTGTTATTCGGTAGTGGCCAAAGGTGGGGATATTTGTTTTATGACCCTACACTCTAAACAATGCTGGGTTGTTTTAACCCAAATGTGGACAAATCCAAATGTTGAGTAAAAAATGTAATTTTAAATTTGAACCCAACTTCAACTTTTACTTTCAATTTCAACTGTACGTTTTTTAATTGCGTTTTTAACCCAACATTTGGGTTTGTCCAAATTTCACCCAAATTTGGGTTGAAACACCTCAGCATTTTTTGGGGGGTTGAAACAACTCAGCAAGTGTATAAGCTTAATAGACCATCAAAATATGAGTGAAACATGTTTTAAATATATGAGGGAAGAACAAAATGCTAAATGTCGGTATGGTATTTTATTTTGTGAGAAAATCATTTGGCAAACTACAGCTACTGGTTTTATTTTGCTATGCAGACTGATCTCATGAAATGGCGTATATGACACGGCAATTCATATTTCCATTTTTGGCGTGTGTTATCAACACGCATAATCGCTTTTCAGCGTGTTTATGAATGCTGTTGATTTAACGTTTCATTACTGTATATATAAATATATGACCTCCCCTAACCCCGTCCCTAAACTTACCCGTCACTGGGGTTAATACCATTTATGAGTCTTCCCCTACCATACTAGGAAAAAAAATATCGCTCCCCAGATGTAGATCTACATTTGTTTCGTTTCGCTCTGACATTTGACAGCGTGTACATACACGCAGAATCACTCGGACATTTAACGGCGTAGACATATACGCGGATAGCTCAAAATGCGTATAGATAACACACCGCTTGACTTGAAAGTGGCGTGTATGTTTACGCAAAAGTCATGATGTCATGTTGTGCTATGCAAAAAGAAAAACGCCATAGAAAAAGCATACATTGACTACAACATAATCAATTTATAATATTTCATTGGTTCTCTCTTGTTTTGCATGCGTTCATTATTTCTTTGTATTAAAGCCTGGTTAAAAGTTATGTCTGCACAATATGAAAACGTATATTCGGTCACCGAAGAGTGAGGATGTTACAAAGTATACAATAAATGTAAAAGAAACAAAAAAGTTGAATAATCCGATCAAATCAAGGGGGTCGTCAAATTAACAAAATAATCAAAACATAACCCCATACCTATTTAACCCAAAACCTCTAAAACGAACTACTGTACCAAAAAGAAAATGCAGAAAACAACCCGAAATCTTCACCATATTTGACGCCTTACGGAAACTATACAAACTAACTAAACAAACAAAACAACAATGAATGACGACCACTCTCCAACTAAACTAACAGTTAGAATGCTATCTACCGTTGTCTTTCTTAATTGTAGGGACAGAATGAGGATTAGACAACTCACAATACAAGTTTAAGGTAAACTGTGCTCAATTCCAGTCATTAGTCATACAAATGCATTTAACCAAGTTTAGAAATCTAAATCTGAAACACAGTCCATCAATAACTATATCATCAACCCCAAAACAATCCCTAACCCAACAAGTAAGTATCAACATGATAATAATCATAAGACATGCACGTGAACTTAATTCCACCAACAATCAATCAACGCATGGATGTGTGCTGAGATGTGGCGCTGATCTCCCGCGCTTCCCTTCAACGGGAATTTTAATTCGGCGGAAACCTCCATTGGGATTGGTCGCAGGTGATGCAAAACGCGATGACATCACGCCTGACAAGCAGCCAATGAGTCACGTCCCAGGAACGCGAATAGGAAAAGAGCATAAAAGAAAAGAGAAAGCAAACACACGTGGAACATAACAGTGTGTGTCGTTGTGTTATCACAAATAAAACAAATGACTCCGAGCACAACACCTACGATATCTTTAACAAAACGTTCATTGTCATATTTGAATAAAGGGTGAAGATATCATTTTTTCTAGGCTGTGAAAATGGCGTGATCTTTTGCGTGATGCATTATTCTTCTGCAATGAGCAGCTTTTAGCCACCTAGTACAAAAAAAAAATAAATAAATAAAAAAACACACGCATGGAAACTGAGAGTTTACGTTTAATGCCTCTAAAAATCAGAAATTAAGAAAAAAGTAATTTTCCTTAAACCTTGAATTGTGTACACTTTTTATGGTGTGTTCACGTCATAATTCCTTGTAATAAGTGTTCAAGTTCTTGCAGAACTTGTGATTACAACTTGTAAACTCAACGCATTCTCATCCTAGAGCGTCATAGTGCTGCTTTTAAAATTTTGTCTAAATCCAACGCGCATGGCACCCTTTAGCATCAACATAACACACTTCATAACACACTTCGGTTATGGGTAGGTTTAGTTCTGGGTTAGGGTTAGACCACTAGGGGGCGCCTTCTGGGCCAGATATATCTGCGTCTCATAAGCCCCTTTTACACAGCGCGTTGATCCCGGGAAATTCCCGGGAAATTGCCAGAACGTGAAAACGCAAACATGACCCGAGATTGATACCGGGACTGATGCCGGGTTGGGGACCTAACATAACAGGTGTTCTGACGATTCATGCTACCCATCGAGATTTGCTACTTACCGGTTTTTTTTTTTGTTTTTTACAAAAGGTACATTTTCCTGTTATAATGTATAATTTCCCTTTAAAAAATGCTTACTACCATATGAATATTTGTACAGTCAGCCAGCTGACAAACAATAACTGAAAGTTTCAGTTACTATGAGGAAAGGTGTACTTTGACAAGTCAAAGATGAATAGTTTATGATAATTTTTACTTTTCACACCGTTTTAAAAATAAAAACAGTAGTCTACAGTATACAGTAACTAACTTAGAATTGTATTATAATTGTATTTCATACGACTTTAATTGGCATTCTGTGATCAATTCGCGTTACGGTAGCATTTTTCGACAAGGCACCAAAAATCGACAGAACCGGAACGCGTGCTGTGTGAACAAAAGCCCATAGATATGTATATAGAGGCTAGATATGTCGTCCACGCTGCTGGCCAATGGAGGTCGACGTCTGCACCTGGCGGCCATCTTGTCACAGACAGCTCGCTCGCTCGTAACATTGTGTTAATGGTACATGTACTATTTAAATAACCATAACTTGCTCAATTTTCTAACGATTTTCAAACGGTTTGTTTTGTTATAAACGTCACAGATGTAGTTATGACACTGTATACTTATGAATAAAAAGTGTATAAATAAATAATCATCCAGATAATTATAGCCACGTTAATAACGTTTGTAAGAAACCAAACCGTTTGTAAATCCGTCAAGATTTCAACGAGATAAGAGTATTTGTGTTCGTGCTGATCACTCATACATCAGCTTGTCTGTGACAAGATGGCCGCCGGTGATGACAATGGAAACTCGTAACACATCTAGCCTTTATATACATATCTATGCAAAAGCCAGGACCAATGCCGTAAAGGGTGTGTCATAGTGATGACTCTCGTGCCATTTTGCGACTCTGTTGCTCTTAGAGTTGAAAGTTTGTGTTCGTCATCAACAAATAAAGGACGAACAAATGTCTGCAAACTGGATCGAAGCAGAGACCAGGAGCTCCTCACTGTCCGCGCTGAAGCCGCTCGTTCAGCCCGCTTTATGGAACGGTATGCGCGTGTACATGTTTTCGACGCGTCCGTTATACGTCTCATCCTGACGTCATGTGTCTTTCCGGGATCTTTACGGGTTGTTTGTGAACGCACTCACAGATCACTGGCCGTTCGAATGAACCGAAATCTAACAATCACGGGACAAATGCCAGGGTCACATTATCCGTGTATTTTCCGGAATCTCTGTGTGAAAGGGGCTATACTGATGCTAAAGGTTGCCATGTGTGTTGGATGTAGATGAAATGTCAAAAGCCTTGGGATGAGACCGGGCTGGAATTTTCAGCTCAGACTTCTGGGCTGCGTCCGAAAGCTGATAAATGCTGCCTTCAGAGGTGCCGAATCCAGTGTTAGCTTCACTTCCTGTCTCCTGAGATACCTTTTGAAGACCGCATAGATGTATCCTTCACTGCCTTTGATATCCCACAATCCTGTGCTTTCCCATTCTGTGACGGATGAACTAAAAAATAAAGATGGCGTCTTAAGGTTTCGGTTCGTGGTCAGTTTGTGTGGAAATGGACGGTTTTGACCAATGTTTTCCACTTTTGATGTCATTTCTAGCAAGAACTGATTGTAGTAATTAAATAGTCGCCTAGTTTTCACCTAAGGTTCCCTATTTTGATGTAGACCGTTTATTCTGTCTCTGCGAGCAGCGTTTGTATATGAAGGAACCTCACAAAACTGATTTCAAAGACAGCAGTTTAGCCAGCTGTCTAAGCTTTGGGACGCAGCCACATATATAATCATAACCTCTTCACGTTTTACTTTTTTTCACGTCAAATGACCACATGCTGCACCAGATCACACATCTGAACCAACAACTATTATGTTATTGACCCTTACAGCATTTCATGCCACGCCGGCCATGACAGATTTAGAGTTTTTCCACTTCTTCTGGTTCATGTTGAGCGTATCTCCTTCCTGTTCTGAGCTGATGCCGGTCGGTTCTGGCGTGAACATATCTGGCTTTGAATTGATGTTTAAAGTAGTGAGATCAGAGAAGCCTTTCTCTATGAATTCCCAGAGATGATGGAACCATGGGATAAATAATCCTAACTGATCATACTTTACTCATTTAAATAATATTTTAACTGCATGAACTTTATGATCGTGTCTTGATGTGTTATAAAATGGATTTGTCAATTGTCAAAGTAATTCCAACCATCTAATTCTGAGTGTTGTTTTGTAACCCTCTGTGTTTTAAAGTTAGTGATGACGATGGGGATGACGATTATGATAAATCATCATTTGTGGTGAATCGCTTCTTCAGTGGGAATTTTAGTGTGGACATCAGCAGTTTCACTTTAGACCAAGAGACACGGCTGCTGGAACAGCAGGTAATTATGAGACGACCATTACTTGACGTTACGCCTCTGAAGTGTGTTTGAGAAACCCATTCATACTCTTCATGTTATGTCCAACAGACATGTATGATTATTGAAATCGATTTGTGGATTTAAAGATATGTTAACCAGCACCATTGTCAAGTTTCACATGATTTTCATCACTAATCTTGAATCTGAAACTAAATATATGTTCTGTGTTCAAAACAATGCTATACTCTATATGGAAACAATCTGATGTTATCAATAACCACAGACAATTTGACTCATCTCTTGGTTTGTGTGGGGAAAATGCATTTATGCTGACAGCAATGCTTACAAGTGACATCTAAAGGGCGGGAAATGTGTTTTTTGAGCTGTGAAGTTGTCTAGATTATCATTTTAGTGGAGGGACTACTTTTTCGCATACACATATTATTTGAAAGCTGCGCGTGCGCGTCGGCCGGTTCACGCCTCGCCGTCGTCCATTAAAACCTGACAATGGACACCTCGTCGGGCATTAACCCGCTTATACCATGGTCACTTGCCAAATAAAACATTTTTAAAACATTAGCTGCTAGTTTATATTTTAATTAGGCTAAATCAAGTTTTTACAAATAATAACTCGCCTGGTTTATTTAGCAACCGGAGATATTTATAGTCCGCTCAGCTTGTAGAACCCTTCAGGTTCAAAAATGCATTTTTTGTTTTTCATGAAACACAAAGGTAGGCATAGTTATTTTTTTTTAATTACACATAAAACAATTAATCAAACAGGCTTCTTAGGCTTGAAACGCTGTACGCTCCTCCTGCCTTGGTTGTCTGGACTGCTGCGTAAAACTCCCGCAGGGTCTCATTCAGAGCAGCAGCGGTGTCATTTTCTTTGCGACGTTTCTCCGTTTTATTTACATTTTTATTTCTTCAGCAGCATCCCAGTCGTCAAAGTTGTCATATTCTCCATAAATGTTAAAAGAAATAACGAAGTCGCTCATTGTTGTATTAGTAGGCTATGTAATATCTAACTATCGTTAGATGTTTGTTTTGATAGAGCAAATTGTTAACGGATACTTTGACTGCCTGTTGCTATGGTTACTCACAGCTGTTGTGGGCAGCGCATTTATTTAGTCATTTCGAATGGTAAACAGGCAGTTTCACCAGAACTACTTTACTAGGTGTCCTCTATCACTTTTTAACGGACACCCTGCAGCCAATCACAATCGAGTATTCACCCAGACCATGGTATAAATACATGTAAATGCAAAATTAGCCATTACACCTGTCAGCAGTTTCAGTTTTTTGAAACATGATTTTTTCTTATTGCGCAACAGACATTCACCAAAAGTCGCCACAACCAATATGTGCACTAAACGTTTTCAAACCTCCTCAGAAACATGAGTCATCATGATTTGTAGGAAAGGGATAGTTTACCCAGAAATGAATATACTGTCTTACACAAATTCATTTACTCACCCTCATGTCGTTCCAAACTTGCATGACTTTATTCTTCTTCTGTGGAAAAGAATGTGACTCCAGAACTATTAACATGAACAATGCTTTCACAAAACAAACACTGTTACTTCTTGATAAATCCTCACAAATCAGATAAGAAGTGCTACCACAGATAACAGGAAACACTTTTTGTTAGAGAGAGGTTTGGGACAACTTGAGGTTGAGTATAAAACAACTCATTTTTATATGAGCTAACCATTTTAAGAGGACCTACAGTATGATGCTTTTTATTATTATTATTTTTTACATATTTATGCTTTTTTTTGTACTCTTTAGTGTGTAATGTTGCTGTTTGAGCAGGAAAAGGGTCTGCAAAGTCAGTGTCGGAAACTCCCTGAAACACCTCCATTGTAGTCTTGAGGTTTCTTCTAGAACTGACTAATCAAAACACAGTGGTCCAGCCGACCAATCAGAGCAAACTGTGCCTTTTGTAAGGAGAGGCTTCATTTACACTGCACAGATCCAGTTTTTTCACCATATCTGATCATATTATCATATCCTTTTGCACACATATCATATATCTGAACATATCATATCATATTTTTAGATTCTCTTTATACACCCATTAATTCATTATTTCGTCTATGGCTCGCTAGATCAAAAATTCTGAAGGGAAATAGTGCTGTAAGATTACATTTTTTTTAAATAAATTAACGAGACTAATAGTGAATCTTGTTGGTTTAATTACAGCGAAGATATAACTTCATTTAATTAAAGCAAGGTAAAGCTGTTTTGTTTATAAAACACACGGGGCAGCTCCTGAATGTCCACTTTATAAAGTTTCGCACGTCGTTTTCATAATATCAAATTAAATAGCTATCTTTATGGGCAAACTTGTCACCCACAAGCATGTATCTGATGGGTGTACAGTAAGTGGCTCAGATTGGATGCGGAAAAATCGCATATTGTGCTGAATTTTGTGTTTACAAGTGCGCAACAAATTCCGATCCGTGTCAGATGCGAGTAAAAACACGCGAGTTTAATAATTTTTTCAGTGTAAACGCAGCCATAGAGACAGGAACTAAAACAGTGTTACTGACAGACTGGGAAGAGAGGTGCTGCAAAAATGTCAAATATGCGAAAAATATGTGTTTTTTTCAGTGAGCCCAAAAACCAAATCAAGAAGACTTTGTAAAAGGGCATGAAAAGTCCTCTTTAAAGGAAAATGAAACTGGCTTGGCCTGAGCAGGGTATGAGCCACAACTTGCACTTCTTCTTTCACTGTGACAGTGTTACTAGTCAATCTTTCTGTCTGTATCTCATCTCCCCTCAGCTAAAAGACGTCTACAGTTCTTCTCCTGCGTTGGGACGGTACTTCTCCAATGTCACCATACACCATCTCCAGTGAGTCTATATCACACTCCATTATCACATTTGACACCTTCTCTTCTGTTTACCTTTTGTTCAGACTGCAGTGTGCCTTTTAAAGGGATACTCCACTTTTTTTTTGGAAATAGGCTCATTTTACCACTCCCCCAGAGTTAAACAGTTGTGTTTTACCGTTTTCGATTGTATTCAGCAATTTTTTTTATATTTAGAAGAATATCAGTAACAAGACAGTTTCTGGTCTCATTGACTTCCAAAGTATATTTTTTTATTACTATGGAAGTCAATGGGACCTGAAACTGTCTGGTTACTGATATTCTTCTAAATATCAGAAAATCAGCTGAATGGATTCGAAAACGGTAAAACTCAACTTTTTAACTCTGGGGGAGTGGTAAAATGAGCCTATTTCCAAAAGATTGGAGTATCCCTTTAAAGGGATAGTTCACCCAAAAATGAAAATTCTGTCAGTTTTTACTCACCCTCATGTTGTTCCAACCCCGTAAGACCTTCGTTCATCTTCGGAACACAAATTAAGATATTTTTGATGAAATCTGGGAACTGGATCACTCCTCCATACTAGTCCATAGGCTTCTTGAGGAATTGAAACTTGCCGGCCTCGAAAAGTTATTAAAGACATCGTTAAAATGGTCCAAGTGACTTCAGTGGCTCAATCTTAACTTTATCAAACGACGAGAACACTTTTTGTGAGCAAAAAACAACAAAAATAACGACTTTATTTCAATTATTCATGTCCTTCTCTCTCTCTGCCTCGAGTCAGGTTACTAGTTTAACGGCGTTAACAGTTTAACTTTTCGAGGTCGGCAAATTTCAATCCCTCAAGAAGCCTATGGACTAGTATGCAGGAGTGATCCAGCTTTCAGATTTCATCAAAAATATCTTAATTTGTGCTCCGACGATGAACGAAGGTCTTACGAGGTTGGAACAACATGAGTGTGAGTAAATACTGACAGAATTTACATTTTTGGGTGAACTATCCCTTTAAACCTCGTCCACACATCGGTTTTGAGCTGCACTTTTTGGTGTGGTCCAAACAAACATTTCACTTTAATATCAAGTTTAAGTTGATTGAAATGAGTGTTTGATGCCTTTGTTTCGACACAGGGACACTACAGCCCAGTTTACGCTACAGTTCATGATGCCTTTAGATCACGAGGAGTTGGTCCGCTACACTCTGAGCCTAAAGATGGTTAAAAATGTGCTTCTCCAACACTTGTATGATCAGGACACTGGAGACCCCTTCTACATCATACCAGCGTCACTCAGCATGGAAGGTGAATACACGAGTCATCAAGACAATTCATAGAAATGGAAATTATATAGTGGCAAAATATGTTTTGCAGTAAAGCATGCAGTTCTACCGAATGAATACGGTTTTGTTTTATTAGTAGAGTTTACTATGATATTCTTGTTTGCTTTTGTTTTTCAGTTGGGTAGATGAGTAGGACTTCAACTACAAGATTATTTTTTTTTTCCCTGAGCAAATGTGTGAAGTTGAACCACTGCAACCCTCGTCAGGAAACAAACATTACATTATTCACTCGATTGACGTTCACAAATCTGTTAATAGTAATTACCCATCAGTAATTAACATTTAATAATCACTGCTGATATATTTTACACATTTTTTATGAAAAAAAAAAACTTTTTAACACTTCAAAATATTTTAAAAGAATAAAGTAAAACAATAGTTTTTTTGCTGTATTATTATTATATTTTTTTTACAATTTATGGATGTAGCTTATTGTATTAGGGTATGGTTTTTTTTTTTACACTTATCTCAGTTTAAGTATCAAAAGATCATCCTAACCCTGATTATGGAAGCGCTAAACCTGTTCTGTTGCCATGATGACGTGAACTTCCATATTGCTCTGGGATGATTTTCTTTAATATGTGTCCTGTACTTTTATAGATTTTTATTAAATGCCTGACCATTTTTGTATCACTGTGGAGCATTCTTTGTGTGTTACTGTAGATTTATTTACCTGAAGGTAAATAAACACTTACCTAACACTTTACCTGAAGGGGTGTGCATAAGACTGACATGAGACCTTCATGACCATGACACGACATCTTTCTTGAATATGAAGTAGGGTTTATGCATGTTTATGACAACTCTCATTAAGTGACTTTTGCTCAATAATGACATTTTGAATGCAAATATGACATTGTCTTTGTTATGACATCTTGACATAAACCGGCAAATTTACACTGCTATTCAAGCTGTACACTCACTACTTTACATTGTAGCAAACTGTCATTTCTTCAGTGTTGTCCCATGAAAAGATATGATCAAATACTTACAAAATTGTGAGGGGTGTACTCACTTTTGTGAGTAACTGTATTTGAGTTTATATTAGGTATAAAGCATAAAAATACAAGCCCGACTAAGGTTGTACATTTTTAAGTTCAATTCTATGTTCCCATAAATGTCAAAAAATCTTAAGCGCGCTCCCTCAATTCCCACTGACTAACCTTTATCATATCTTAAAAAGTAGCTAAGATTGATCTAAATACATTTTTAAAAATGGCTTCTTTAGGAATTAGTGATAAACTGTTTTGAACAATTACTTTTAGAAAATATAAAAATGTTTTTTTTTTTTTTTTTTTTTTTTTTTGGTGAAATTGATTCACATGATCTATGTTGCCCTCTCCTGGTGACACCAACAGGGCATTCTTACAGCACATCTCAAAGTGCTTTATTTTCTCCAAAATAAAACTTTTAACCTTAGCCTACATTTATAATTAAGACAAATAAATTGTGAAAAACAATTTTTTTTTTAGGAAAATGAATATTAATCAACAAATTTATCAACAACCCAATGCACAAAGTAAAAGTGAAAATCAGTAATTCAAAAGAACAGAGCCATAAAAAGATTGTGTAAAGTCACACACCCCTCACTGTTTGCAGTCTCCGGTGATCGTGCGGCTGCGGCTTCACTCTGATAAAATGTCGGTCTAAATACTGAGAATCCTACAATAAAACATAGAGTCAACATTTTGGAGAATGATATAGTTATTAGTGTATGATGACGGTGAAGTACATTGTTTCTACGACTCTAATGGCACCTATACAACCTATCCTTTTCATGCACGCTTCTTTCTCAACTAACGTTATACAGGGAAGCCAACCTAACATTTAACAGCTAGACTGGATATGTGTTGCAGATATCTAATTCAATTTTGCCTATAGTCAAAAAGAACATTTCAGATATCCACAACTACATTCTTCCTATCCGTAATTGTCATGACAAATGACATCACGTTTGCCATTCATTCAGTTGGAGATATATCCACTATGTGAGTTACGGATATCTGCCACTGAATTGTACATAGGCCTATCTGTAATTCCAGTTTGAGATATCTACAATTTAATTCAAAAATCCAGTTCAAGATATCTTTAATTAACCTCAGTTCAAGATATCTACATGTTCCTTTTCAGATAGGCCTATATCCTAAATTGAGTTTTGCCTACTCTTTGCTCTGTCATGTTTTTCATAAAAAAAAAGATAGTTTGGTGCAAGCAGCTCTTATCGTATCGTTGAATATACATACAATAGCGAAATAAATATTTATATTTATATTCTTAAATATAGTCTACAACAGAAAACTTTGTTTGGCTACTATCTTGCTACTGCAGTACCTACGCTAAGTAAAAGCCTATAATTTTATAAAACATCACTACAAATGTTAACATTTTCTACAAAATGTGTTTAGCAGACAACATTCTTATTTTTAATAAACATGTGTACACCATAACTAGGCTAGGCTACACTGTTTAAACCAGTGGTGTAGTCTAGTTTTTTGTAGTGAGTATACTGTGATATACCAGCAGAACCCCCCCCCCCCGCACCCCCAGCCCCCCGCCGCCGCCACCACCACCACCCATTTGCGAAAAATTTTCAAAAACTTGTGTAATATTCCTTTAAAGTTCTGTCTTAATAGATTTGATTATTATTATTTTATAAATTACATTTTACTATGCAATTTCTTTCATAATTCCATTGAGTTACTTTATTTATCACTATAAACTGTTTTAAATTAAAGACATTTGAGCTTCTGTGTGTTTTAATAAACTATTATTAATAGCATTAGGCCTACTTGAAGTAGGCCTATACTCTACTGTGCAATAGTAATATATTTCTTTTAAACTAGATTTTGACAGGTTGCATGAAGCAGGGGCGTCACTAGGATTTTGATCATCACTAAATTTTTTCTAAAAAAAAAAAAAAAAAAAAAAAGGTGACACTTTAGTTTAGGATCTAATGCTCACTATTAACCAGTTTCATTACATGCAAAGGCAGGATTTTATAATCACTGTTGTCCCAAATGTGAGGTAGGTTAGTTAGGGGAGTTCAGGGTTTTCCTGAGAAACATTTTATTTCTCTGATCTACATATGTGCATTGTAGGATGTTTTGAAGGCCAAAAAAAATTAGATAACAGCTTTAAAACCATGTCAGTGGGCACTGGGCAGCTGATTATTTCTCTCTCCTCATCAGCATCACCCTCTTTTTCTCTTTGTTTTTCTCTTGCCCTGTCTCTTCCCCTCCTAAAGATGAGCTGTGACTGATATAGGCTTTTCATTTTTGTCTGTCAGTGAAGAAAGTAAACATGGGGTCAACTGATAAGTGGATTTTCCCTATGAATAATTTTTCTTGGACACGTTTATTCACTGAAAGCTACTAAAGCTAGGTAATTAGTTTATTAAATACATTCAAAACATATACACATTCATTATTGATCTTATGACTAATACAGGGCCGTAGACAGGGCTTTATAATCACAGATGTCCTAAATTTGAGGTTGGTGCTTCAATTTTTTTGATTTCTCTGATGTGCATTTCAAGACGTTTTAAGACCAAAAAAAGAATAAGAAATAGCTTTAAAACCATGTCAGTGGGCAGTAAATTCTCTCCCCCTTCGAAGGCTGAGCTTTTTTAATGTAATAGCCTAAAGGCTACAATTTTTATTATATTCTCAATATGTACACATTCGTTACTTGTGGCTAAAATGATGAAAAGGTCTTTGTTAATGTTTCTTGTCCCCTCGCAATGACAGTAAACTATTAAATTGCATGAGTCACGTTACAGGCCTATTTATTTCACTTCAAAATGGCGAAATTAGACAAAACTATAGCCTATTAGTTTGCCTGATTATTTTTTTTCATTCGTTTAATATTTATGACCTAAAAAATGTAAATATGAAATGTTAAGTTTAGCCACTTACATCTTTTCTCGCACTTGCCTGTAAACTGAAGCGTCGAGTCGCTCTCCTGAAATTCGCGCTCAGCAGCGTCTTTGAAATAAAGCCCGCCTACTTTGATTTGATTTGTCATCTCAAATATTCTGACATTGACGAGCAGTGACAGACCAATGAGCTCAGATGAACACGAACACACACACTACAGTGACTACACACACCCTGTCCTCTGTTTTTGACGTGCTCTCTGCTCGCGCGCTGAATCAGATTATAACAGAACTTAAGGGAACACGAAATTCTGTCGCCTTACGTTTAGGGGGCTGATGTCGTAGGAAATTTATTTCACAAAACGATGTTGTTACGAATCCTCACGCTTTTTAAAGTGGGCATACGGAGATCTTTGACATTTCCTAGTGGGTATACGCAAATCCTTGACATTTTCTAGTGGGTATACGGCGTATACCTGCGTATCACGTAGACTACACTACTGGTTTAAACTATTTAGCTGTTTTAGAAGTTGGCCACTTAATAAAATAATTGAAATCAGTGTGAAATGTGTGAATCTGCTAAGCTGCTACGAAGTAAAGGCCTATAATTTAGAAAACTTCACTACAAATGTTAATATTTTTTACTAAATGATTTTATCAGACAACATTCCTTATGTATTTTTTTAATAAACATGTGTAACATAACAATGTTTCAAACTATTTAGCCGTTTTTAGGTAGGCTATTTGATTCGAACTTTAAATTTAAGAAATTGTAAAGTAATTAGATTCAGGTGTAAATCTATAAGCATGAGAATACCATAATATTGTAATATTAAGAGGAAACAGTACAGAAAATAACAGAAATGTTTCCCTCAGCTATAACAGTGGCACCAGACCAGAGCCGCTATGACGTCATAGAGAGTTGATGATTTTTAGAACGTTCGCGCGCTTTGTTAAAGCCGTGTAACTCTCCAACTCTTCACTCATTTACTGAGTTTGCAGCTGATTTAGTGTGATTGATACACAACAGCGATTCATCATGGGACAGAAGAGTTCACGAGTACAAGCGTTCACGGATAGCGAGCAGGTTCACGACCTCCATCACCGTGACCCCTCACCGTCAAACCATCTTCCCCATCGGCCTGACGAGGAGAAGCCCGAGGGAGAGAGAGACCAGCGTCCCATCTCGCGTCTGAAGAGGAAGATGAAGAAGAAGATGAAGAAAGCGCCGGGCGACTTCAACTTCTTCAAGTGTCTCTCTTTCAGACGTAAAAACACGAGCTCGGATCAGGATGAGATCATGAAGGATCAAGAGACGGAAACACCCAGGAGAAGTACCGACGGTAAATGACAACCATGTTATGAGAATATTATCATGAAAAACTGGAAAAGTGTTCCTTCCTACATTATATTCCTACATGAAAAAGTCACTTCATAATGTACACCTGTTAAATGAGTAACGGGAACTTCTGCCCCCTGTAAAATGGTTTTAAAAACAAAGAATTTTTAACTTTCTTTCAATAATAAATTAAGAAACTTCAAAAGTGTAAAATGTGTAATATTATACTCTGCACTTTAGAAATCAATAGGTGAACAATTAGTAATTGACTCTAATATCAAATAACTGCTGTTCCTCATAAATCAGTATTGTTTTAGCTGCTCAACTTCTTGTGCTGATATTCTCCTGTTTAGATGAAAATCCTCCACAGTCCATCTCTAGATCTGGAGAGGTCATTGATCTGAGGGAACCTCCTGTCGATGATCCTGAAGTCCTTCCCGCCGCCGAGCTTCAAACTCCAGTCCTCGACGCTCCAGTCCGTCTGACAGCGGGTGAAACGTCTCCTCTCCGTCACCAGGAGAACATGAGACCTGAGGGTGAGTTTCCTGCCACAGTCCCCAACGATAATCTCACAATATCTGCAAAGCACCACTAAACATCATCTCCTTCTCTTCCTCTTTTAACAGACGAAATCTGCAGCCGATATTCATTCGGCCGTAAGCTGGGGGAAGGGGGATTTGGTGCCGTCTACGAAGGCACTCGTTTGACGGATAACAAGCTGGTTTGACTTTTTTTATTTTTATTAATAGTTTAGCAAATTCTTTGATATCTCACTTTATCCTAAGCAAGACATCTTACTGTATCATCTGTTCACTATTAAGGGCTCTTCTTGACCCGTTGGGATTTCAATTCTTGCTTGGACGTTATGATATGATCTCTACACACATTCATTGCTTTTTGTTTTGTCCATCAGGTGGCGGTGAAGTTCATCCAGAAGACAGAAGACATGGAGTGCATCAGCATTGTGAGTAAAAGTGATTTGATCAGCAGAAAAACTGAGTTAAATCCCTATTTTAAAGCATCTGACATCATATGTGCCTTTCTTCCAGCCTGATCATCCCGAACCCCTTCCCAAAGAAGTGGCTCTGACGATCCTGGCCAGTAGCAAAGGTCCAGCGATGGACATCATCAAGCTTCTGGACTGGCAGGACCAGGAGGACTTCTGCGTCATGGTCCTCGAGCGTTTCTCCGACTGCATAGATGTGTTCGACTTCGTGGCACACAGCGGCGGCCGCATCGAGGAGAAGATCGCGCGGCACATCATGTGGTCGGCAACACTAGCCGCTGATGCGTGCTGTCGCCGCGGAGTTTACCATGGCGACATCAAACTGGAGAACCTGCTGATAAACGTCAGGAGCCGCGACGTCACAGTCATCGACTTTGGATGCGGCGAACTCCTGACAGAATCTCCCTACACGAGTTACTCTGGTGTGTATCAGTTCTCAGAGCTCTTGTGAATCATTAACTCAACACTGCTGTGGTAGAGACTCACACATCTGACAAACACTCTTTCCTCCAGGCACAGATTTGTACTGCCCTCCCGAGTACAGAATGAAGGGCGAGTTTCACGGGAAGCCGGCGACGGTCTGGTCTCTGGGGATCCTGTTGTTCAGAATGGTGTGTGGACACTTTCCAGATACTGCCGACTTGTACAGGACCAATATGAAGATCTGGTACAAATCCAGCTTGACAGAAGGTGATTTGTTTATTACTTCAATACAATTCTAATCCAAACTTCATAGGCTTTATAGGAGTTTGCGGTGTAGAGAATGCAGGAATTTGACCTGAAGATCTCACAGCGTAGAATAATGACAGTAATAATCAGACGTCTCTCCATCTTTCTCACAGACTGCTGTGATTTGATCTGCTCACTTCTGCAGCAGAAGCCAGAGCGTCGGCTTGATCTGCACAGGATTATTCAGCACAACTGGTTTTAGGTACTGAGCCATGAGCTAAACATATTGAAGATGGATTTTGCAAACCTCACCTGTTCTAAGTGGGATGAATTTAGCAGCCTTATTTCTGTTTTTGTTCCAGGTGGAAAACCGGTCACAGTGTCGTCTCTTCAGGAGATCTCTTTCCGTTTGATGAAAAAATCCACCAAAAGCAAGAATGCAGCTGTAGATGTCTTTAATAGATTTTTGTCATGACACAATATTTAGGACAACGACTAATATTGCACAGCAAAACCACTAGATGGCACAAAATTTGCAGTATAAAATATGATATTAATCATACAATAAAATGTATCTATTGTACTGCCATAATACATTTGTATTATTTCCTTTATTTAACCAGGAGAGTCACATTGAGATATTACTATCTCTTCTTCCAGAGAGACCTGATGGGATCTCCTTCAAAGATTCCAGATTCTGTCATTTTTTTTATATTTATTTTAATACATATTTATTAAACAAAAAATGAATATCCTTTATTTATTCAAATAAACAGAAAATAGTACAAACTTTGCTGAAGTGATTGTTTTGGAAAAGTATTAGATATTATGTGAAACATATTACTGAAACTAAAGTGTTTGTATTGATAATGATCCTGGTGATTTTTACCTCCAGAGAGCAAGGCCATCCTCGCCACCTCGCACATCTGAATGATTGTTCGGTGAAACGCACCACTTGACTTTAATCATTTATTTTCCCACAAAATCTTTCGATCCATCAATGTTCAATTAAAATATAGGATATATAGTTATTTTATATAACAATCTTATTAAATTAACGTTACACTGTGTAACAACAAATCTTTTTCTGTGCAGCTACATATTAATGAATGAATGAAAACTACATATTAATGAATGAATGAAAAAAGGGCATAAAAAATACAAACAAATAAAACAGATTAATACAAGAAAAAGATTAACAAGCGGACAATACAATATTCTACTCCAAGGATTTATTATTTTTTTTTATATAGGTTTAATAACCAATTTTTTATTGAAGATTTAAAATGATAATAGGACGAGCTCAACAGTTTAAGGTTTAAAGGTGAACTATTCCACATGACGGCTGCAGTGTAGAGAATAGGAACGAGGGCTTTCCCACACACCCCTTAAAACGGCAGGGCCTGTAATTTAATTTGACCAATCAGAGCCAAGCTTTTCAAGTCTAAGTCGCAGCAGACTCGAAGAGATGAAGATACTGCCCTCAGAAGGTGCTGGTCAGCTTTAGTTGCTGTTTGCATAAATAAATTGCTCCCTGTTTAGTTTTTTCCTAGTATATTGGGCTGCTATGCATTTGCGAACATGGAGAACATGTCCGGGATTCTGATGTTAAAGGGATAGTTCACCCAAAGATGAAGTTTACCCCATGATTTAGTCACCCTCAAGTCATCATATGACATTCTTCTTTCACACGAACACAATCGGACTGATATTAATACATTTCCTGGCTCTTATAAGCTTTATAATGGCAGTGAATGGCAGTTTATGTTTATGAAGTCCATCAACGTGATCATAAAAGTGCTCCACACAGCTCTGCGGGGGTTAATAAAGGCCTTCGATGTATTTGTGTTAGAAAAATATCTAAACTTTATCGTTTAAAATAACAAGCTTCCAGCAGACGGTTGTACGCATACTACACAAGTCGACTAAACGCCGAAAGAGTAACGCTTGACGCATGCATTGCAATATCAAGATATTGTCAGTGAATTAATAGACAAACTGTGTCACTCTAATCCTTTGAATGTTGCCTTTTGGTCCCCTTTGTTCAATATTTAAGAGATAAAAGTATTTTAAAGAAAACTTTAATGTGATTGAGCCAGTAGAGTATATTTTGGATGGAGAGGAGAATTACAGCTTTCAGTTAATGCCTGTTATTCAAACCATACAGCACTTGTTGTATAATGAACACATTGTAAACTGTATACCCACTAAACATTCACTTTCACTCACTTTTGTTGCCAGCAGTTACGACACTAATGGCTGTGTGTAGAGACGGCAAATTTACACTGCTATACAAGCTGTACACTCACTACTTTACAAACTGTCATTTCTTCGGTGTTGTCCCATGAAAAGATATGATCAAATATTGAAATTAAGAATATGTTTAGACCCCCGAGATCTCAAGATGGCGGTAATGAGAGAACATACCAGCTACCAACAGTAGAAGAAATAACTAGCAGACTCGCAAAAGCGAAATACTTTACAGTGTTGGATGCAAGTTCAGGTTTTTGGCAACTCAAATTAGACGAGAGCCTTTGTACATTCAACACTCCTTTTGGCCACTTCAGGGTCCTCCGACTCCCATTCGGGGTCAACTCCGCTCCAAAAGTTTTGAAGGCATTGAGACACAATGATCTTTTGATCTGGGGAGAAACAAAAGCTGGTGTACTCACTTCTGTGAGTAACTGTATTTGAGTTTATATTAAGTTTAAATCATAAAAAATACAAGCTCGACTAAGGTTTGCGACAGGCTACATTTGTAAGTTGTACATTTTTAAGTTCAATAGTATGTTCCCATAAATGTCAAAAAATCTTAAGCGCGCTCCCTCAATTCCCACTGACTCATCTTAAAAATAGCTAAGATTGATCTAAATTTTAAAAATGGCTTCTTTAGGAATTAGTGATAAACTGTTTTGAACAATTACTTTTAGAAAATATAAAAATGTGTGATTTTTTTTTTTGGTGAAATTGATTCACATGATCTATGTTGCCTCGATCCTGGTGACACCAACAGGGCATTCTTACAGCACATCTCAAAGTGCTTTATTTTCTCCAAAATAAAACTTTTAACCTTAGCCTACATTTATAATTAAGGCAAATAAATTGCGTAAATGAAACGCAATTTATTAAAATAAATTAAAATAAATAAAAAATTAAACATTTTTTTTAGGAAAATTAATATTTATCAACAAATTTATCAACAATCCAATGCACAAAGTTAAAGTGAAAATCTGTAATTCAAAAGAACAGAGCCATAAAAAGATTGTATAAAGTCACACACACGTCACATTTGCACTTAGGCCTATCTGTAATTCCAGTTTGAGATATCTACAATCTAATTCAATGAATGAGTAGGCCTATTTTATTTATTTTGTAGAAGGACTTCACACACTGTGGCTTTTGTCTTTCTGTCACTCATGGTGGGACCCTTGTCTGAAACTATGCGAGCGAGTTTAGAGGCCCTGTGGCTTATTGCAGTGGTTTCAGAAACTGAAATCGCACCCGCACTGTTTTGCATTCCGAAGCTAAATTGTATGGGATTTTGGATCCACACTAAGGTTGACACTGGGAGGATTTGAGATTTGGATTTGTGGACTTGAGCTTTCATGGACATTACTATAGTGTGGTTTCAACGTGATTATCCTAGGCATCATCATCATCTTCGTCATACTCGACCTAGTTCCGTTGCTTAGCAACGTGAAGAAACTCCTGTAACTTTAGTGCCCAACCGTATCAGGACAAGACGTGAAATAATCACGTTGGTCCACTTTGGAAAACGTGTAGATGTTACGGTTTAACTGATAGTGATAGTTTAAACTCAAAACCATAAATAGGGCTATACTGCCCTCTTGTGTCAAATTATTTCTATATTTATTTTTCCAACACATAAAACCTAAGCCGCAATAAAACCCATCCAATACTCGGTACACCTTTGAACTCAACAGACTCAGTGGCTCAGTTGATAAAGCGATGGGCTTTAATCAAGAAGACCTGAGTTCAAATCCTATTCTTGCTTACATTAAATTGTTGTGATTATATCAAACAAAGTGGCCAAAACAACATTTCTCCAACCCGGTACCACGACATGAAATAATCACGTTGGTCCACATTGGAAAACGTGTAGATGTCACGGTTTACCCCTCAAACGTGAAACTTAAACTGAAACATAAACTTACCATATACTGGTTTTCATTAAACCGAGAAAATGGAATTTTGTTTTATTGACGATCACTGCAAATGGTCTATTATTTAAAATGCATAAAATATTTATTAGTTTCAATGTGAAAAGGATTAATTTGCCTCGATCCACGCCGAAACAAAACGTCTAAATGTCACGTTTTTAATGAAGCAGCCTAAATGGTCCACTTTGGAAAACGTGTAGCCTAGTTGTCGGTTTAACCCCCTCAAACGTGAAACTTACACGTTTGCGTTAACACGCTCCAGTGGAGAGATACCCGGATGTTTCTACACGCAATCGCCTCTGCCATAACGACCTATTGGTTTTCATTAAACCAAGAAAAATGGAATTTTGTTTTATTTACGATCACTGAGAAATGTTCTATTATTTAGAATGCAAAAAAAAATATATATATATTATTTTCAAGGTGAAAAGGATTCATATGCCTTGATCCACGCCGAAGAAAACGTCTAAATGTCACGTTTTTAATGAAGCAGCCTAATGAGTTTGTCTATTTTTCCGGCGTCCCCCAGCTCCTCCTTTAAGCAAAAGGTTCGCTAAAACAACGTATTACATCGACGTTAAACCACGTTAACCATGTTAACCATAACACAATAATTATTAATTTAATAATTAAAGTACTTTCAATAATTATTAATTAATAATTAATGTAATTTCAGTTAAATTGCAATGAGGATTACCTATTAATTGTTATGTAAGTGAAATTACTGAACTTGAATATATAAGCTTGATAAAAATGATCATTTTAGAAGAAAATTTCAAATGGCATTTAGAGGCTTTTGCATCTGAACTCTTCATTGCATTTTAAATAATAGAACATTTCTCAGTGATCGTAAATAAAACAAAATTCCATTTTCTCAGTTTAATGAAAACCAATAGGTCGTTATGGCAGAGGCGAATAAACATTTGGATATCTCTCCAATGGAGCGTGTTAACGCAAACGTGTAAGTTTCACGTTTGAGGGGGTTAAACCGTGACATCTACACATTTTCCAAAGTGGACTATTTAGGGTGCTTCATTAAAAATGTGACATTTAGACGTTTTTTTTCAGCGTGGATCGAGGCAAATGAATCCTGTTCACCTTGAAAATAATAAATGTTTTTGCATCTTAAATATTAGACCATTTCTCAGTGATCCTCAATAAAACAAAATTCCATTTTTCTCAATTTAAAGGGTTAGTTCACCCAAAAATGAAAATTAAGTCATTAATTACTCACCCCCATGCTGTACCAACCCCGTAAGACCTTCGTTCGTCTATGGAACACAAATGAAGATATTTTTGATTAAATTTGAGAGCTGTATAACTACCACATTGGCTCCTAAGGGACTGCCTCTTGACGGCCCAAAAAGTCAATGAAGAAAATGTTTAAATATCCCAAGTGACTACCGTGGCTCAACTATATGTTTATCAAGCGACGCGAATACTTTTTGTGCGAAAAAACAAACAAAAATAACGAGTTTATTC